GATGGGACACGGGACCCCCTGGCACAGCTTGCACTGGGATGGGACACAGGACCCCCTGGCACAGCTTGTACTGGGATGGGACACGGAGCCCACTTGCTCCAATGCTGCAGGGACAGACACCCCACCCACAGCCCAGAGCAGATCTCTTCGTGGGTGCCACATGGGACCCCTTTGAGGAGACCCCAGCCCCATAAACCAGCCCCGGGGAGATCTGTCTGCCAGTGCCACACAGGAGCTCTCTGTGCAGACCCCAGCCCCATGAATCAAGCCCCGGGGGAGATCTCCCTGCCGGTGCCCTCTGTTCAGATCCCAGCCCCATGACCCAGCCAGGGGAGATGTCCCTGTTGGTGCCCTCTGTGCAGACCCCAGCCCCATGACCCAGCCAGGGGAGATGTCCCTGTTGGTGCTCTCTGTGCAGATCCCAGCCCCATGAACCAGCCCCGGGGAGATGTCCCTGTTGGTGCCCTCTGTGCAGATCCCAGCCCCATGAACCCGCCCCGGGGAGATGTCCCTCTCAGTGCCCTCCGGGTGCACTCCAGCCTCACGAATTAAGCCCCGGAGCCCCGCACCGGCTCCTCCCTCCCTTGCCTTGTGCTCCTGGATCTGGGCGGTGACGGTGTCGAGGACGAAGCTGGGGGGCGCGGGGGACCCCAGCAGCTCCTCGGCGTGGGCCACCCAGCGCAGCAGCTCCTGGGCAGAGCCGTGGAACTCGGTGGTGACCGTGAGCCCCTCGGCCAGGCGCTCCTGCGGGGGGGACGGGCGCTGACGGGGGCGGGCACCCCCCGCCCCGGGGCCAAGGCCGGTCAGGGTGGGCCCCCCCAGGGTCAGAGCCCCCCACCCCACACACCCCACACACCTTCCTCTCCTGCGCCTCGGCCTGGACGCTCTCCCACTTCTGCTCCAGGATCCGCAGGCTGTGCTCGGTGCTGCAGGGCCGCCCGGCGCGGCACGACTCCAGCAGCCGCTGCAGCCGCTCCCGCAGCCCCCGGTACGGCACCGCCCGCGCCTCCAGCTCCCGGCACAGCTCCTGCCGGGCACACCGGGCACACCGGGCACACCGGGCACGCCGGGCACGCCGGGTCAGAGCCCGCCGCGGGGCCGGGGTGGGGACGGGGACAGGGAACGGGGAACGGGATGAGGAAGAGGACCGGGATTGGGATGAAGAGGGCGACAGGGATGAGGAAGGGGTCAGGGACAGTGAGCAGGGGACGGGGACAGAGACTGGGATGGGGACAGGAACAGGGGCAGGGACAGGGAACAAAGACAGGGATGGCTCCTACTCTGCCTCAGGGAGCCAGAGGAGAGTGGAGAGGGGTACCAGGCTCTGTCTGGTCAGGGAGAGGAGGCAGCAGAGAAGGGTCTTGGCCCCTCGGTGTGGAGAGGGGTGGTTTTGGGGGACACATCCCCCTGAGGGACCCCGGGGCCTGGCCCGGTGCCGGTGCTCACCAGGTGTGCGTTGAGCTTCTCTTTGGTGGCATCCGGGTGGCCCCAGACCGGCTTGGAGCAGAAGAGCTGCAGCTCCACCTGCTCCAGCCACTGCAGCAGCTCCGTGATCTCCAGGGTGATGTCCTGCACCTGGGGGCGAGGGGGGGAGCTCAGCGCCGGCCCCACGGCCCGGCAGCGCCGCGGCCCCGCGCCTGTACCTGGCTGAGGTTGTTCTCCAGCTCCAGCTGCCGGCTCTCGGTCTCGCTGCGCACCAGGTCCCAGCGCTGGCCCAGCTGCTGGAGGCTGCGCTGCAGCCCCTCCACGCTCTCCCCCAGGCTGGACAGCAGCAGCCCCTGCCCGGCCTCGGTCACCGACTGCACCGTGCGGGCGTGGGACATCACGTCTGTCCGCAGCACCTGCACAGGGGCGGGGGGGTCACGGCTGGGACCGCAGCGGGGGCACCTCGTGCCCCGCCGGCTCTGCTGCACAAAGCCCCTCGCTCCGAGTGCCCGGGACACCTCTGCCACCCGTGTCACCGCTGCCACCGTGGTGCTGGGCTCTGGGGGTGCCACGCAGAGGGAAGGCAACACCCAGGGGTGCCCCTGACTCTTGCTCTCAGCAGGGCATGGGGCTGAGGCGCCAGATTTGCTGATTCGTGGCAGGGGGTTGGCCAGGACGGGCACAGAGGTGACACAGTACCCTCTGCACAGCCTTCTCCTGGTGTGGGGCCAGCCTGGCCCTCGCAGAGCCTCGTCTGCCATCAGGCACGGCCCGAGCGTGCCCAGGCAAGGGGCTGCAGCACTGGGATGGCAGAGAGACAGCTCATTCCTTCCATGGTGTCACCGTGGGAGGGGACAGTCCTCATGCCACAGCCTGTCCGGCCTGGCCAACACTGCAGCAGCCCAAGGAGGGGCTGGCCAGCGCCCTGCAGCCAGGACACACACCCCGGGGGTGGGACCATGGCCAGGATCCCCAGGACACACCCTGGGGGTGGGACCATGGCCAGGACCCCCAGGACACACACTCTGGGGACAGGACCATGGCCAGGACCCCCAGGACACACACCCCGGGGGTGGGATCATGGCCAGGATCCCCGGGACACACACCCTGGGGGTGGGACCATGGCCAGGATCCCCAGGACACACACTCTGGGGACGGACCATGGCCAGGATCCCCGGGACACACACCCTAGGAGTGGGACCATGGCCAGGACCCCCAGGACACACACCCCGGGGGTGGGACCATGGCCAGGACCCCCAGGACACACACCCCGGGGGCGGGACCATGGCCAGGACCCCCAGGACACACACCCTGGGGGTGGGACCATGGCCAGGACCCCCAGGACACACACCCTGGGGACAGGACCATGGCCAAGTCCCCCCAGACCCTCAGCAACGGCCCCGGTCTGGGTCCCCACAGAGGGGCTGTGCCACGCGTGCCCCGGGCCACGGCGCAGCCTCACCTTGTGCTTGGCCAGCTCGATCTCGCAGCTCTGCAGGTCGGGGCTCAGGGGCGCGGGGCCGCGCAGCTGCTCCCCGGTGCGGCTCAGCCACTGCAGCAGCTCTGCCAGCTGGTGCTGGAACTGCCCCAGCCCCAGCAGCGCCGCCTCCAGCTGGTGCTGCCGAGGGGAAGGGGTGACACTGGGGAGAGTGACGGCAGCCCCAGCCCCGTGCCCGGCACCCACGTGGCCCTGTGCACCCACCCAGCACCCACTAAGTGCCCACTCAGTGCCCACACGGCCCCACACGGCCCCACATGCCCGGTGTTTCCAGTGGCATCCTGTGTGCCCACAGAGCTCCCATGCACCCACCCAGACCCCACACAGCCCCAAGCACCCACCCAGCACCGTGAGCCCAGCGCCTGCATGGGCACCTGGCACCAGAGGGCACCCAGTGGAAACGACTCCACTGCCTCCTGCACCCTCCCGGCACCACACCCAGCACCAGCGTGGAACCCCTGTGAATCCCCCCATGAATCCCTCCAGACCCACACGGCACCCACCACACCCACCCAGCCCCACCCACCCAGCTCCCACGTGGCACCCACCACACCCTCCTAGCCCCACCCACCCAGCTCCCACGTGTCACCCCCTGCACCCCCTGCCCCGTGCCCCCTCACCTGCCTGCTGACGATCTCCTCCTCCAGGTGGTCCCAGCGCTGGCGGAAGTCACTGAGGGCAGTGGGGGGGTCCCCCTGCCCCGTGCCCCCCTGGTGCCGCAGGCTCTCCACGTCCACCTTGCACTGGTACAGCTCCCGCTTGAACTCCTGGGGGGCAGCACCGGTGGGTGACCCTGGCCCCATACCCCGTGACGGGGTCTGCCTGTCACCAGGCACTGCGTGGCACCACGTGGCACTGCATGGCACGGCACGGGCACCTGGGCACAGGGAGCTGGCACCCAACTTGCCCAGGGACCTTGTAGAGGGCGGGACTTGACCACCCAGCACCCACCACGGGGGCACCAGCACCGTCCAACGTGCCACCCCTCCATCCCACTGCTGTCCAGAGCACCCCCCTGTCCCCCCTGCCCCCCGCCGGCCCCCTCCAGCGGCACAGGATGGCTCAGCACGACGTGGCACGACGTGGCACACCACGGCACCTTGAGCTCTGCCAGTTGCTGCTGCACCATGTCCAGGTCCCCGCCGACCAGGAACTCCTCGGCGATGCGCAGCTCGGCCGTGTCCAGCCACTCCAGGAGCCGCTGGGGATGGGGGGAGAGGGGGATCAGGACTGAGGGGTCCCCACGGTGGCCTCACAGCCCCTCGTGCCCCTCAGTGGGAATGGGGGGGGTGACACAGCTCCCTCCGGCCCCTGCACCCACCAACACCCACCGACACCCACTGACACCCACCAACACCCACCGACACCCACCGACACCCACCGACACCCACTGACACCCACCTGCATCGTGTCCTGGTAGCTGAGGGCGGCCTGGAGCTGCTCCTCGAGGCGCCCGTTCCGCTCCATCCACACCCGGCTCAGGCTGTGCCAGGAGGAGTAGAGCTGCGGCCGGGCGTGGGGTCAGCGGTGCCACAGGGGGACAGGGCATGGGGGGACAGGGCACAGGGTCAGCAGTGCCACGGGGGGGACAGGGTGAGGGGTCAGCAGTGCCACAGGGGACAGGACGTGGGGGGACAGGG